GACCCGCTGCGGAGACGAGACGCCGTCCGGGCCGCGCACTCCGAGGAGCGGGGATGAAGCGCTTCCCGGCGAGGCGAGGACTCGGAGTTAGTGCGTGTCACCTCCTCCGGGCGGCGCGGCTCCCCCTAGAGGAAAGTATTGGTCGTTGCAGGACTCCTTCCTCTCCGCCCACCCGGTTCCCAAAAAGAAGGCAGGACCTAAAAGAGCCGAAGTGCTGACACCCGGAGTCGCCGCGAAAAGCTAGCTCCCCGCGGGGCCGGGGCGAAAACCCCGGAGGTAGCTTAGAAAGCGTGATCGCCAGCCAAACATTGCCTCTCTCCACGTTCAACCAATGTCCAAACACACACACACACACACACACACACACACACACACGCCTAAAGAGTAGGAAAGACCTTATTTTAAAGGTTAGAAAACGAAGGCAGGGAGATGAAGGAATTTACCAAGGGCACCGGGCGTGTTAGGAGAGAGGTCTGTCCAGAAGCCTCGCCCAGGGCTGCAGGGAGCCCTGACACAGCCCGGCCTGAGGACTGTCCTTGCCAGCCGGGCCGGGTTCTAACTCCCCGGTCTGGACAGAGTTCATGTGTCAGATCCGGGCCTGCCCACCTCATTCCCCTGCAGGCAAAACAAAGGAGCCGGGAAAGTGCTCCTGAAAGTTAAGCCTGTCCTTCTGTAAAGCATCAAACTTCCAGTCACCGCATGCCTTCCGAAGCAGAAAGGACAAAAGTCCAGCTCCAGGTTGTCTGCGGTCTGAAGGAGCAGCGAGTCCTGCTATCTTTTGACTATTTACTTTATTGCCAACTGCCAGCTGTAACGTCATTTATCTAACAGCTTCGGCTTACTAAACGACTTCTTCTTTTTTTAAACAGGGCTTCCTGACACAAAGCCAAGTTTATACCCAGACAGAAATGTTTAAACAACTTAAACTTAAACCTAGTCTCTTAACACTAGCATAAAAGATCCCCGGGCATAAAGAGTAGCAAGAAGGGGCCAAGACTTGGGCAGGAACACAGGACTAAATACTTTAGGGCAGCAGATGTCACATAAGATACCCCTGTTTTAAAAGAAATCCGATGAGTGGGAAATTCTGTTACTAAGAGTCCTTTCCAAGGCTGAGTTGTGGCTCAACAACCCCACCTTTCCCAGGCAAAGACACTCAGAATGACAGGAAAGATTCTGGCAGGGGTGTGTACCATCACTGTTCCATAGGGGGCAGGAGAGAGGTGGATGTTGATATGGAACTGGTCCTGTTGTGTCTCACCCCGGTATAAAAAGACCTTCTTTCACTAAGACCCTCCCCCAAGTCCCTCCTTGGCTGGGGAGCTAGGCTAGAGCAGTAGGGGTGCTAGGAGTGCTTACCAGTGTCTGGAAGTGTTTCTTTCGTTCTTTTCTTTTCTTTTCTTTTCTTTTCTTTTCTTTTTTCTTTTCTTTTCTTTTCTTTTCTTTTCTTTCTTTCTTTCTTTCTTTTCTTTCTTTCTTTCTTTTCTTTCTTTCTTTCTTTTCTTTCTTTCTTGGAGTTGCTCAGGTAAAGAAAGACAGGTTAGGACACAGGCAGGCGGAACTCCTGATGGGTGGTCAACACATGCCAAGCTGGTGAAAGGGCAATGCTGGCAGGAGCAGAGACCAGGCAGCCCTCAAATGCTGGCTCTGTTCCTGTCTGAGATGACTTCCCAAGTTGGCTCTTCAGACTCTGGCACCACCAAGTTCTTTCTCTATCCCCCTCTTTTTAGACTTTGATGACCCCCACCCCCACCCCCACCCCTGGAGCTCAGAGAACCTTGACCTCATCTAGGAGGTGCCAGATGGATTCACGAAATCCTTTCTAAGTTCTATGGCCGCCTTTGGTAGAAAAGTAATATGCACAGAAGACATAGGAAAAGACGTACCAGTTAATATGAAATATCATGGAACCAGAAGAAACTTGCAACATGCAGGAAGGGCAGGCTTTACTTCGAAGTCCCAAGCATAAAGGTCCCCTGGGTCTCGTGGATAACAACTATGTGTAGGTCTGTGGTGTAGATGTCACTTTGTATTTTCCAGGTTATGGGGGGAAGTGCATCAGGAATTGAGTTGACTGATTTGTTAGGAGTGAAGGCACACCAGAACACCTTTTCCTTATGAAACCTGAAATGGTACATGCTCACACACCTCCCCAGCCTGGAAGATCCTACTTTGACCTCATGGGGAAGTCTCCTTGACCTTCGAGTTTCAGCTCAATTGTTTAGTTCCTCTCTAAAGCCCTTCTGGCTGTTCCCACCAGTGGAGTTCATTAATTACTCGCCCTTGCATCTGCAACAGCAGAGGCCTCTGTGCCTACTTTCATGAAATACTTCAGTTTTTATCGATGTGTTTGTTTTCCCCATTAATTATGAGACCCTTAATATTTGTACCTGAAACGTCCAGGTTAGTCCCCAGCAAATGGTAGCGTGCCCGAACAATGTTTAAACTAAACTGAATGGAAAGTAATATCTCTCGAATTTGGGTCTCTCAAACCTAGGCCTTTATACAGAGCTGCAGAGAGCCACACTCAGCATGCTCTCCTACTCCACGTTCCAAATCTGTTCACTCCTGACTCCACAGCTGGCACCGGGCCTGCACCACCATAATCTCTCACCCGGGTTACTGCTCCAGCCTTTCTACTCCGCTGGTCTCCCTCATCAGCACCCACCGCCGCCGACAACCAGAGTTAGTCTAAACTCAGTTACCAGTGGGATTCTTTTCTAAACTCTGTCAGATTGTGGCATTCCGCCACTCAAAAGTCTTCATGGTTCCCCATTGAAATCCGAGTAAAATTCAAAATGAGCCATGAGGCCCTCCATGAGCTCGGTACCTCTGTCCCTGACCTTGTCTCCTGTTACCCAGCCACCCATTCTGCTCCAGACGCCCCGGCCTCCTGGCTGTTTCCTAAGCAAGCAGGCGCCTCCTCACTTGGAGCCTCCCACTGCCTCTTCCCTCTGCCTTAAACATCTCCCCCCAGTGCTCCTCCCGTGCTTCCTTTAAGTCTTTGTTCAAATTTACCTTGTCAGTGAGTTCTATTTTGATGGGCCTATGTTACCACCTTGTTGCAGCCCACCCTTCCCCCAACCCTGTTGCAAATCTCTGCTACAACATGGCTGGAAAGATAGACTGTATTTTAAAGACAATAAAAACAATTATAACATGATTCAGATCATGCCTATTCAAGTGCGGACTTCCAGGAATTGTATCTCCCCAAACTATACAACTCCACGGTATACATTCCTTAAGTCCACAGTTATCTGGGATGAGCTTTGGTTGCAGTGATGAAACTTTTTCTCAAAACAAAACACCCAAACCAGCATTTTGTAGCTGCTTCATTTTGTTGTGTTTGTGGTGGTGAAAGGGCGAGGACTACACCCTCCACCTTGCCCCAGGGTAAGGGCTATGCCCTCCATCTTACCTTGGCCATGTGCTCAGCAAGGCTTCTTCCTGGAAGCCAAGCCGCTGCTGGCCACGCCCAGGACTTCTTTGAACTGGCCATTGACAATCAAGAGAAGTCGCCATAGATATGACCACATCCTGTGTGACAAGACACCGACTTGAGCCTGGCCAATCGGCAGGGCCCACAGTCCTTTCTCCTCCCCTTGCCCCAACCCCCTATAAAGCCTCTCTCCACACAGAGTTCTCTCTCTCGGCCCCGGGGCTTGCCGTTGCATCGGTGAGTGTGGTCGGGGAGCCGACCTAGTTCGAAATGAGGGACTCTTTGCTTTTGCATCGGACTCGCTGGCTCCCTGGTGGGCCCTTGGGAATCTTGAAATCTGGGCACAACAGTGGAAGAAGTAGGCTTGGCAGCCAGGAGCCTGGGGACGTTGTGTGAGCCATCTGTGATTTCATCAAGCTCACAGGGACTCCATTTCTTGGTCTATAGAATGCCCAAGGAGGGTTGCTATCATTTCAGCTGTAAAAAAATTATTGGATTGATAATTGTGATGGTTAATATTATGTGTCAATGTGGCTAGGCCACGGTATTCATATATTTGTTCAAATATTATTCTAGATATTTCTATGAAGATATTTTAAAGATGAGATAAACATTTAAATCAGTAGACTTTGAGTAAGGTAGTTTATCCTCCATAAGGTGGGTGGGCCTCATCCAATCAGTGGAGGGTCTTATAGAAAAAGACTGACCTCTTCAGAAGAAGAGGGAATTCTGTTGGCAGACTGCCTTTGAACTTGAACTGCAGCATCAATTCTTCCCTAGGTCACTAGCCTACCAGCCTGCCAGCCTCCCCTGCAGTTTTTGGACTTGCCAACCTTCACAACTGCATTAGCCAATTCCTTGAAACAAATCTATCTATCTATCTATCTATCTATCTATCTATCTATCTATCTATCTATCTATGTCTATTCTATTGGTCCTGTTTTTTTCTGGAGATCCCAGACTAACACAATATTCATTGGTAAATTCAAAAAATAAAACACACTTACTTTAAAGGATTTTTTCAAACAACACTGACTTTCCATCCACCAAATTTTTCCAACAAATGTTGGAGAGTCTGCACCCAGACAGACTCGTTCTGGGAACTTAAGATGCATCAGAAAACACACAGCACACCACAGAAACCCTGCCCTGAGGGGCTTGCATTCAAGTTGGGAGAGACTGATGATAAATGTGATAAGTAAATCACCGGAGGGCTGATTAGAAAACCTGGTAGAGAGTAGGATGAGGGCTCAGGAGTGCCGGGGAGAGGGTGAGAATGCTGGAGCCCCTTCCTTGCCCCGACTCTGCAGGGTGCTGTGGACTCCAGTAGGTGATGGCTGTGTAAGAGCTGCCTGACCAGGGTAAGCGCTCTGTCCCAGCCCCAGCCCCA